GATTAATCTCATTTCATAACTTTTAGTAATATAAATTTAATATCATGCACATTTAATGGTTTGGTTAATTATGTTTCTCAAGGGTTCGGGGGTAGAAGTGATGTTACCATAGTAGAAAACTGTAACTTTCTAGACGCATTACAACAGGGAACTTGCATTTAGCTGACAGAGGCTTCAAGCACCTTGAACAGATACTTAATGAAAGGGCATGAAACTATTAAGGCCACCCAGTGTAAATGCTGATGCAAAATTATCAACAACTGAAGTTCGATAAACTAAAGTAATTGCTAGCTTGCGAATTTATATTGAAAGGACAATTAGGCGAGTAAGAGAATTCCATATGCTAAAGCAACATTCAGTGATAACTACGAACATAAATGTCGTGTACTTGATCATGTTATTATGATAGAACTGTAGAAAATTCTGTTCAAGTAACAAAAAAAGGAAATATATATTTTAGGAGCAAAGCTGTGCAAACAAGATGCCAAAATAATATATTTCTACCTCACCATTCAAAGCTTCTACAATATCTCGTTTCACTTCGCCAATTAAGATAAACCAGGCCATCTTTAACGGTTACAGCCAGAAGTGGCTCAAGCACTTAAGAGAAATATTTTCCTTGAAGATGAAAAGTCAGATAGTGATATTTCTTGTTTTGAAAGTGGTCATTTATCACCTTTTGTAGCTACACCAACAACAAGGATTACTGACTCGGATAGTAAAGTTACAGATACCAATGAGAATACTGGAAAATTACAGTGCATCAAAAATACTTCGCGTTTATTTATAAAGAAACCATTGATGTTTATTGGTATTTCCAAAGAATGTTATTTTTTAATTCAGTGATTGCATAGACACATAAATATAAAAACAGAACACATTGTGCTATGCTTGAAAAAAGTAGATTGAGCAGCACATTTTCTTAACTAGAGGATAATTTTGGTATATTATTATCTTATGCCAGTAAATAATTTTTAAGAAATTTACCAATATTAAGTAGTTTTTTATGACCATTCATTGTAAACTTAGACAAAAATTTAATAAAAAAGATTCTTCCTACACATTTAGACATAACTATCATAATGTAAGCTACGTCATCTATTGTCTAGAAATCGACATACAAAAACCATCAAAGGCTCTTTATCAGGCTATGACATGGTCAGAGTACAAAAAGAGAAATACTGTGTAGTTGAAAAAACAATACAAGTATATTTGACTCCTTCCTTGATAGCTTTCTGGCAGTCCCTATTGCACTGCATGCCGGCTCCACCCTTGGCTTACATTGAGCACATTGTAAAATTACTGTATCGCATATTTCATGGATCCTTATCTCAGGTATTGTCAGAACTTAATCCTTTAAATAGTTTTAATCTTAATTACTCTCTTTCACAGGATTTGATCATCTTTATTAGTGGAATTTTGTTATTTATGGCAGGGCAATACTTAAATTCTCCTGAAGAGATCCAGCAAATCACAAAATCCATAATCTCTGATGACGACTTTGCCTGTCTAAATTCCATAATGGCAGGCCAATTTTACATTCCAGCACATGAAGGAAAAACATCACTTCAAATCCTGCAAGAATCTACAGAATTAACCCCCGACCTTCACACCAAATCCACAAATCAAGCGGTCTCTGACGATGATCCTTATTATCTACAAGGATATGATCCTGACTCCCAACCTCAAGCTCTTTGTGATCCCTTGAATTGTCATGAGATGGGGGAAATGTTTGAGCTGGCTAAACTATTGACTGTTTCTGAAAATCCATCCACGCTAGAAATTATAAAGTTAATTAAATCAATATCCAAAATAAACATGAATGACTCAGATAAATTTTATACTCAGTACACCTTATTAACAAAGATAAGTGAAAATGATTGGGGATTTATAACGGAAGTAATTGTTAGTGCCGCCCAGCAAAGCTATCATACCCTATTATCCAGTATTGTAGGGATGCTCAAAATTTATCAATTGCAACATGCAAAAACTGTCAACACTCACATCACCTCCTTAGGCCATGTAACAGACGACTTAAAAACTACAACAAAAAGATTAACAGATCAGGTTGAAATGGACAATACATTCAATAGAGACCTCACAAAACAACTTAACCATTTGACAGCGAGCATAGCACAATTCATGGAAACTCTAGAAGCCAAAACTCTGGAACTCCATCATCCTGTAAGAAGAACCCCAAAATCTGCCACAACAACCCCCACCGCAGACTCAGTGAGCTCTCCACAACAGAATCCCCCTGGCAAAATAGAACCCATCCCGAGCACCTCATATAGAAATGCGATTATCAAGGTTACGTTTTATCAAAACCTCAACATTACATCTTCCGCTAGCACCTCACAAGCAAGACCTCTTGCCAGCATCTGTAATCTTCCCATTAAACCCAGGATTGTTTGTAATATTCTAAATCAGGACATCAATCTCATTATCCAAACTCTGAACAACAATCCAACCTTTTTCACCAAATTTTCAGATACAACTCAGAGAGAGGACAAATTTAGGATCCTTAAAGATACATTAGGCGACATCCCCTCTCGAGACGGTCAATGGCTAAGGGAGGAAACAATCTCAATGATCAATTGACTCATGCAAATGTCAACAATACAGTTCTTATAATACATTCAATTTAAGGCCTTTAAAGGATTGTCTATACTTACACCAGATCAAATAAAAGAGGATACTGCCTTTTTAATCTGTAATTTAAACCTTTTTTCTGTATTTTTTATTATTATTTTATGTTAGTTGATTAATCTCATTTCATAACTTTTAGTAATGTAAATTTAATATCATACACACCTAATGGTTTGGTTAATTATGTTTCTCAAGGGTTCGGGGGTAGAAGTTATGTTACCATAGTAGAAAACTGTAACTTTCTAGACGCATTACAACAGGGAACTTGCATTTAGCTGACAGAGGCTTCAAGCACCTTGAACAGATACTTAATGAAAGGGCATGAAACTATTAAGGCCACCCAGTGTAAATGCTGATGCAAAATTATCAACAACTGAAGTTCGATAAACTAAACTAATTGCTAGCTTGCGAATTTATATTGAAAGGACAATTAGGCGAGTAAGAGAATTCCATATGCTAAAGCAACATTCAGTGATAACTACGAACATAAATGTCGTGTACTTGATCATGTTATTACGATAGAACTGTAGAAAATTCTGTTCAAGTAACAAAAAAAGGAAATATATATTTTAGGAGCAAAGCTGTGCAAACTAGATGCCAAAATAAAATATTTCTACCTCACCATTCAAAGCTTCTACAATATCTCGTTTCACTTCGCCAATTAAGATAAACCAGGCCATCTTTAACGGTTACAGCCAGAAGTGGCTAAAGCACTTAAGAGAAATATTTTCCTTGACGATGAAAAGTCAGATAGTGATATTTCTTGTTTTGAAAGTGGTCATTTATCACCTTTTGTAGCTACACCAACAACAAGGATTACTGACTCGAATAGTAAAGTTACAGATACCAATGAGAATACTGAAAAATTACAGTGCCTCAAAAATACTTCGCGTTTATTTATAAAGAAACCTTTGATGTTTATTGGTATTTCCAAAGAATGTTATTTTTTAATCCAGTGATTGCATAGACACATAAATATAAAAACAGAACACATTGTGCTATGCTTGAAAAAAGTAGATTGAGCAGCACATTTTCTTAACTAGAGGATAATTTTGGTATATTATTATCTTATGCCAGTAAATCATTTTTAAGAAATTTACCAATATTAAGTAGTTTTTTATGACCATTCATTGTAAACTTAGACAAAAATTTAATAAAAAAGATTCTTCCTACACATTTAGACATAACTATCATAATGTAAGCTACGTCATCTATTGTCTAGAAATCGACATACAAAAACCATCAAAGGCTCTTTATCAGGCTATGACATGGTCAGAGTACAAAAAGAGAAATACTTTGTAGTTGAAAAAACAATACAAGTATATTTGACTCCTTCCTTGATAGCTTTCTGGCAGTCCCTATTGCACTGCATGCCGGCTCCACCCTTGGCTTACATTGAGCACATTGTAAAATTACTGTATCGCATATTTCATGGATCCTTATCTCAGGTATTGTCAGAACTTAATCCTTTAAATAGTTTTAATCTTAATTACTCTCTTTCACAGGATTTGATCATCTTTATTAGTGGAATTTTGTTATTTATGGCAGGGCAATACTTAAATTCTCCTGAAGAGATCCAGCAAATCACAAAATCCATAATCTCTGATGACGACTTTGCCTGTCTAAATCCCATAATGGCAGGCCAATCTTACATTCCAGCACATGAAGGAAAAACATCACTTCAAATCCTGCAAGAATCTACAGAATTAACCCCCGGACTTCACACCAAATCCACAAATCAAGCGGTCTCTGACGATGATCCTTATTATCTACAAGGATATGATCCTGACTCCCAACCTAAAGCTCTTTGTGATCCCTTGAATTGTCATGAGATGGGGGAAATGTTTGAGCTGGCTAAACTATTGACTGTTTCTGAAAATACATCCACGCTAGAAATTACAAAGGTAATTAAATCAATATCCAAAATAAACATGAATGACTCAGATAAATTGTATACTCAGTACACCTTATTAACAAAGATAAGTGGAAATGATTGGGGATTTATAAAGGAAGTAATTGTTAGTGCCGCCCAGCAAAGCTATCATGCCTTATTAATCAGTGCGAAATAAGACACTCTTAATTGTTCCACGTTTATTGCGAGACTGCCACCGCCCGAAATCGTCTTACAATAGTTTTTCGAGTCTACCCTATATCCAAACCTAAACATACTAAATTAGAGATACTAAACTACAAACAATATACCACACCTTCACCCTTAATACAATATAAATGTCTTAAATAATAAACTTAACTAACTTTTATATAAAACTATTTTAATCTTAAACATTTATTCTATGACATAGAAATTCCCGTAACACGAGATAACCAAATTATATATATAAAATAAATCACTATGTTAATGAAGGAAACCGTACTGGCGGATGTCTGTTTCTTACAGGGTAACGGCGGTTTAATTCGGGCTCAAAACATTGTGGTTGTATAGCATTATTAATATCAGGCGATGCCATGCCACGTTGTGCTCCCGCCGCACCTGCCATCGTGCCGGCCAACGCCGCCGGACCTTCCCCTGGGTTATTAGTATTACTAGTTACTTTGATTAGAAACGGATTTATTAAATTACGCCTGGATGACTCTTTAATCGTGATCGTGTTTTGCAAAGGAAAATTAAACCTGTGTCTTAGCTGGTCTGCGTGTCGGTGATGTGAACTTCCATCGATGCCCAAAATTTCATAGTCAGTGCTACCTAGCCGCAACTGAACTTTTCCGTCCAACCATTTCTTACCCGTGCCGTAGTTACAGTATAAAATCTCATACCCCTCGTTAAAACACCGCTGTGACCCGCCTGCTGCCAACTGATGGCGTCTTTGCGCTGCATTAACGCGATCTGCGCGCTCCGGTTTTAAACAATCGAGTCGCATCCGCAACGAACGGCCTTGTAATAATTTTGCCGGACTTTCTCCTGTAGTGCAATGTTCGGTATTTCTGTAAACTAATAGAAATCTAAGGAGAGCCGTGTCTACGTCTAAATTCTGAGAAAGGGCTTTCTTTACAACTTTTTTACAGGTTTTAACTGCATTTTCGGCCGCTCCGTTGGACGAAGGATGATATGGAGCAGAAAACGTGTGTTGTATTGCATTGTTCTCCAAAAACTGTTTAAATTCTAAACTTGTGAAAGGTGGACCGTTATCCGAAACTAATTGTTTTGGTAAACCGAACCGAGACCATATTTCTCTTAGCGCTTTTATCACCGCTTTAGTGTTGGTAGAAGACATTTTTATTACCTCCATCCATTTAGTGCACGCGTCAATTAGGACTAAGTACGTGTTTGATGCGATTGGGCCGAAAAAATCTATGTGTAAACGGGACCAAGGACGATCTGGCCAAGGCCACGAGCGAATCGCATGGGCAGGAGGCGCGTCCGCCACCTCTAAGCACACCTGATACGACCGACATAACTTCTCTATATCTTCATCTATTCCCTGCCACCATACGTAACTGCGCGCTAACCCTTTTGTTTTAACCATGCCCATGTGTGAATCGTGCAACTCTTTTAAAACTTTAGACCTACAGACGCTCGGGATCACAACACGATGGCCCCACATCACGCAATCAAGTTCCGTATATAGTTCGTTTTTTCTGTTATAATAAGGTTTTAATTCTTTAATATCCAATTCTCCTGGCCAGCCGTCTCTTATATAACTAATAACTCTGCTTAAAATAGGATCATGTACAGTTTCTTTTTTTAGTATGTTATAGTCTAAGAGTAACGCTTCCGTCGCGAAATGCAAATACGTTTGCTCCGGTTCGTCGCTTTGTTCGCAAGAACCAGTTTCTTTATAAGTTTTTATCATACGAGATAACGCGTCGGCCGTATTACGCTCGGTACTTATAAATTCAATCTTAAAATTATATGAAGATACAATTAATGCCCAGCGCTGTAGTCTACTAGCCGTCATATTAGGAATACTATGCCCGGGATCGAAAATACTTCATCTTCATCGGAGGGATTTTACTCATTATGACTGGACAATTCCTTACTACCTCAGAAGAGATCCAACAAATTACTCGATCACTCATATCAGAAGAAGACTTAGCTGCAATAAATCCCATCATGGCTGGACAATCAGCCGTCCCAGGCTACGAGGGGAAGACATCCCTTCAAATATTGAAAGAATCCACAAAATTAAATCCAGACTTCGTGAACCCCCAAATTCAGGGCATCCCCGAGGATGACCCTAACTATACATTAGGATATGATCCAGACACTCAATCAATCAATACATGTATTGATTGACCCGCTCAACTGTCATGAGATGGAAGACCTATATGAATTGTCCAAATTGCTTAAAACATCTGAAAATCCCTCTACCCAAGAGGTTTTAAAGTTGATCAAAATAATTTCAGGATTAAACCCTAAATAAACCGGAATTACTACACACGCAATACACTTTGTTGATCAAAATTAGTGGAAACGATTGGGGCTTCTTAAAAGAGACTCTGATTACTGCAGCACTCCAGAGCTACAATTCATTTTTGTCAAGTATTAATAGTATGCTGGTGGTATACCAGCTACAACACTCCAAGACCGTCAACATGCACATAACATCCCTAGGAGGTGTCACAGACGACCTGAGAACAACTACAAAACGGCTCGTCGACCAGCTGGAAATGGATAACCATTTCAATCGAGATTTAACGCAACAGTTAAACCACTTTACCTCAAGCATCGCACAGTACATGGAAACGTTAGAAGCGAAAATCTTAGAACTCCACCACCCCACAAGAAGAACTCCCAGATCCACAACAACCACACCAACCGCCGACTCCGAAAGCATACCTCAACAGAACCTTCCCGGGAGGATTGAGGCGATTCCCAATACCTCCAACCGCAGCCCATTCCTAAACGTATCGTTTGACAAAAACCTGAATGTCATAACCTCATCTCATATGGCGAAAGCCAAACCTCTCATGTCCATATGCAGTCTACCCATAAACCCAAAAGTCATTTGCAATATTTTAAACCAAGATCTTGATCTGATTATCTCAAGTCTTACCCCCAATATGAACTTCTTTTCTGATTTTATAACTACCGACAGCAAAGAGGATAGAATAAAAATGCTCAGAGTCACCTTCGGCAACATTCCCCCCAAGGAAAGTCAATGGATTCGGGAAGATGCTCCCTTTTAAGAAAATTAACAAATTTGAATAAAATTCTCATCACCCTTATAATCGTTTAGCTATAAGAATTCATGTATTAGTCTCTCATTAGCATAAGTTAATAATTAATTATCAAGATAGTCTGCCGTGCTCATCCTTTGTCGCTCCTGTTTTACTACCCTCGTTAAATTTTCGTTCGCAATGGCGATACCAGAGGTGCTCACGCCGCGGCCCGTGCAATCTACCACTGATGAGTCACGCTGGGCTGCTTCCATTGACGTAGCTAATTTCACTGCGCCCGTCCAAGTTAAAGAATCCTCAGCAAAAAGTCGTTGACGCATCATATCACTGCGTAGACCGCACACAAATTTGATCTCTCATATTTTCTTCCAAAGTGTTTTTGAATTCGCACGATTTTGCCAAACGTTTTAAATCCGTTACAAACTGAGATACTGTTTCGTTTTCACTCTGCCTACGTTGGCGAAACTTATAGCGCTCTGCTAGAATTGACGCTTTTGGTTGCAAATAATCGCTCATTATTCTTACAACATCGTCGTATTTCATTTTAGCGGGTTTAATTGGGCTGCACGTGTTATTCATCAGTTCATATCCACTTTCGCTAACCACAGATATCAACGTTGGTACCTTTAATTCTTCCTCGACGCTGTTAACCAAAAAAATACATTCCCAACCTTTCACAATATGAACTCCAATTACCATTTGAAACATCGAATTCTCCGATTCTACCCATGTTTGCCATATTTTATTATGATAAAATTCCTCGTCGCCACTGCGAAATAAGACACTCTTAATTGTTCCACGTTTATTGCGAGACTGCCACCGCCCGAAATCGTCTTACAATAGTTTTTCGAGTCTACCCTATATCTAAAGCTAAACATATGAGATACTAAACTACACACAATATACTACATCCAGTATGGTAGGGATGCTCAAAATGTATCAATTGCAACATGCAAAAACTGTCAACACTCAAATCACCTCCTTAGGCCATGTAACAGACGACCTTAAAACTAAAACAAAAATATTAACAGATCAGAATTTGACAGCGAGCATAGATAGCACAATGTATGGAAACTCTAGAAGCCGAAACTCTGGAACTCCATCATCCTGTAAGAAGAACACACACAACAACCCCCACCGCAGACTCAGTGAGCTCTCCACAACAGAATCTCTCTGGCAAAATAGAATCCATCCCGAGCACCTCGGTTACGTTTGATCAAAACCTCAACATTACATCTTCCGCTAGCACCTCACAAGCAAGACCTCTTGCCAGCATCTGTAATCTTCCCATTAATCTCAGGGTTGTTTGTAATATTCTAAATCAGGACATCAATCTCATTATCCAAACTCTGAACAACAATCCAACCTTTTTCACCAAATTTTCAGATGCAACTCAGAGAGAGGACAAAATTAGGATCCTTAAAGATACATTTGGTGACATCCCCTCTCGAGAGGGTCAATGGCTAAGGGAGGAAACAATCTCAATGATCAATTGACTCATGCAAATGTCAACAATACAGTTCTTACAATACATTCAATTTAAGGCCTTTAAAGGATTGTCTATCCTTACACCAGATCAAATAAAAGTAGATACTGCCTTTTTAATCAGTAATTTAAACCTTTTTTCTGTAATTTTTTATTATTATTTGATGTTAGTTGATTAATCTCATTTCATAACTTTTAGTAATATAAATTTAATATCATGCACATTTAATGGTTTGGTTAATTATGTTTCTCAAGGGTTCGGGGGTAGAAGTGATGTTACCATAGTAGAAAACTGTAACTTTCTAGACGCATTACAACAGGGAACTTGCATTTAGCTGACAGAGGCTTCAAGCACCTTAAACAGATACTTAATGAAAAGGGCATGAAACTATTAAGGCCACCCAGTGTAAATGCTGATGCAAAATTATCAAAAACTGATGTTCGATAAACTAAAGTAATTGCTAGCTTGCGAATTTATATTGAAAGGACAATTAGGCGAGTAAGAGAATTCCATATGCTAAAGCAACATTCAGTGATAACTACGAACATTAATGTCGTGTACTTGATCATGTTATTATGATAGAACTGTAGAAAATTCTGTTCAAGTAACAAAAAAAGGAAATATATATTTTAGGAGCAAAGCTGTGCAAACAAGATGCCAAAATAATATATTTCTACCTCACCATTCAAAGCTTCTACAATATCTCGTTTCACTTCGCCAATTAAGATAAACCAGGCCATCTTTAACGGTTACAGCCAGAAGTGGCTAAAGCACTTAAGAGAAATATTTTCCTTGAAGATGAAAAGTCAGATAGTGATATTTCTTGTTTTGAAAGTGGTCATTTATCACCTTTTGTAGCTACACCAACAACAAGGATTACTGACTCGGATAGTAAAGTTACAGATACCAATGAGAATACTGGAAAATTACAGTGCCTCAAAAATACTTCGCGTTTATTTAAAAAGAAACCTTTGATGTATATTGGTATTTCCAAAGAATGTTATTTTTTAATTCAGTGATTGCATAGACACATAAATATAAAAACAGAACACATTGTGCTATGCTTGAAAAAAGTAGATTGAGCAGCACATTTTCTTAACTAGAGGATAATTTTGGTATATTATTATCTTATGCCAGTAAATAATTTTTAAGAAATTTACCAATATTAAGTAGTTTTTTATGACCATTCATTGTAAACTTAGACAAAAATTTAATAAAAAAGATTCTTCCTACACATTTAGACATAACTATCATAATGTAAGCTACGTCATCTATTGTCTAGAAATCGACATACAAAAACCATCAAAGGCTCTTTATCAGGCTATGACATGGTCAGAGTACAAAAAGAGAAATACTGTGTAGTTGAAAAAACAATACAAGTATATTTGACTCCTTCCTTGATAGCTTTCTGGCAGTCCCTATTGCACTGCATGCCGGCTCCACCCTTGGCTTACATTGAGCACATTGTAAAATTACTGTATCGCATATTTCATGGATCCTTATCTCAGGTATTGTCAGAACTTAATCCTTTAAATAGTTTTAATCTTAATTACTCTCTTTCACAGGATTTGATCATCTTTATTAGTGGAAAATTGTTATTTATGGCAGGGCAATACTTAAATTCTCCTGAAGAGATCCAGCAAATCACAAAATCCATAATCTCTGATGACGACTTTGCCTGTCTAAATTCCATAATGGCAGGCCAATTTTACATTCCAGCACATGAAGGAAAAACATCACTTCAAATCCTGCAAGAATCTACAGAATTAACCCCCGACCTTCACACCAAATCCACAAATCAAGCGGTCTCTGACGATGATCCTTATTATCTACAAGGATATGATCCTGACTCCCAACCTCAAGCTCTTTGTGATCCCTTGAATTGTCATGAGATGGGGGAAATGTTTGAGCTGGCTAAACTATTGACTGTTTCTGAAAATCCATCCACGCTAGAAATTATAAAGTTAATTAAATCAATATCCAAAATAAACATGAATGACTCAGATAAATTTTATACTCAGTACACCTTATTAACAAAGATAAGTGAAAATGATTGGGGATTTATAACGGAAGTAATTGTTAGTGCCGCCCAGCAAAGCTATCATACCCTATTATCCAGTATTGTAGGGATGCTCAAAATTTATCAATTGCAACATGCAAAAACTGTCAACACTCACATCACCTCCTTAGGCCATGTAACAGACGACTTAAAAACTACAACAAAAAGATTAACAGATCAGGTTGAAATGGACAATACATTCAATAGAGACCTCACAAAACAACTTAACCATT